ACACACGCACACTCACTCACACTCACAGACACAGACTCACACACACACAGACACAGACACACTCACACACTCACACTCACTCACACTCGCACACAGACACACACACACACGCACACTCTCTCTCACTCACTCACACACACACACACTCACTCACACTTGCACACAGACACACTCACACACACACACTCACTCACACTCGCACACAGACACACTCACACACACGCACTCTCTCTCACTCACACACACGCACTCTCTCACTCACTCACTCACTCACTAACTCACTCACACACACACACTCACTCACTCACTCACTCACACACACACAGACTCACACACTCACACACACACACACACACACACACACACACACACACACTCACAGTCACACACACACACACACTCACACACTCGTTCTGATCCTGATTGAGACACGCTGGCCAGTTTCTTCTGGGAGCTTTTATCAATAGATACTGATATCCGAATAATCAAATTTAACCAAAGGTTGGACCTAGAAATACAAGTATTTTAAATGTCATAAACATGTACTTCATTCATCATCAGTGTATATGTAAGCTGTATGTGTGAATGGCTACTGTGTGTGATGATGCGGTGAGGTCAGCTGATGTCGATCTCGTGCCGCTTTGGCCTCGTCTGTGCGCCGCTAGTCCAGAGACTGTGGACGGGCGCCGGATGTAAACAGGAGCGTGACAGATTGGCATGCTGGGATAGCGCGTGGGACGACAGCTTGTATCGGTGATGAGCCGCCTCTGTTCTGTTGCTTTGTTTTGGTTGGTTGAGTGTGTTTGAGGATTTATTTGAGCGTTGCTTTAATATCCAGTCATGATGTCACTTCCTCTGTGTGATGGTTTAAGCTGCATCAGATGCGGATCAGCTCTTCATGCTTGCGTCTGTCTCTCATGTGCTCTTCTATAATGCTGTGAGTGTGTGGCGTGTGAGAGAAGAGTCTTGAGGTTATTGCATTATTGCTCAGTAAGAAATCACTTCCTCTGATGTCACACTTCAGATATCTCTCTGTGTGATTGGTCACTCAGAGCTCTGGTCAATGATAGTTGGGACGTCATCAACGGGAAGTAAGTCCCACAGTAAAGATGCAAGTATGAATCAAATCCTTGATTTATCTTTTCATTCAGAAGGGATTTTGTTTGTATCAGAATCATGATTGAGTTTCCTCTGAACGACCTGCTGTCCTATTCCTGTGTGTGTGTGCGTAAGAGTGTGTGTGTGTGTGTGAGCGAGTGTGTGTGTGTGCGTGAGAGGGTGTGTGTGTGCGTGAGAGGGTGTGTGTGTGCGTGAGAGGGTGTGTGTGTGCGTGAGAGGGTGTGTGTGTGCGTGAGAGGGTGTGTGTGTGCGTGAGAGTGTGTGTGTGTGTGTGTGCGCGTGTGTGTGTGTGTGTGAGCGAGTGTGTGTGTGTGCGTGAGAGTGTGTGTGTGTGTGTGTGTGTGAGCGAGTGTGTGTGTGTGCGTGAGAGTGTGTGTGTGTGTGTGTCACAGCTCTACACACACACACTCGTTTGACACTAATATTAGTTTAACGTTCATTGCTTTAAACGACTTATTGTACAAACTGGTCACTAGTGTCACCAAACAGAAATAAGTGTTTGTAGACGGCTCTAGTCAGTCGTACAGAGTTTCAGCTTAAATCGTCGCTGGCTAGACGAAACGCACTTAAGATGATCTGCAGACGCTTTCACGCCTCTCAGCATCATGTGACAGATCCATTGATTCTGAGCCGCACGTCACGTTCAGATCGTCTTCATTGCTCCCCTGTGAGTCTCTGTGAATGTAAAGTGTGTTTTGTGTTGATGAAATGCCAGTATTGTGATTCTCCATGATGATTGTCTGACTGATGTTCAGCTGTCCAGCGGTCGGCCGCGTCACACTGCGCTTAATCCAGATCTCACTCCTGTTCTGAGTGTTTAATGCTGCTTCAGGAATGAAACTCAAGTCACATTTATTTCTATAGCACTTTGTATAATACAGATTGTTTCAAAGCAGCTCACTAATAAACAGGAAAATATCAATCAGTGATGCAAACTTAATGAAATATGATACAAATTCAATTCAGCTGTAATGCAGCCATAAAGTTTTGTTCTCATCCAATGGTGTCAGTGCAGTCATATCAATAACATTACTGAATATTAAGCGTCTTTTAAACCCGACTAAGCAAACCAAAGGTGACGGTGGAAAGGAACCCAAACTCCATCATGTGTCAGAAATGGAGAAAAAACCTTGAGAGAAACCAGGCAATGAACAGCCTGCTTCTGAAAGTGTATATAATGCCAGTGAACTAACAGAACTGAACAGCTAGTTAGTGCGGTGCAGAGCCGCTCTCTACTAGTCTCAGATAAACTTCTGTGTTCTTCATGTTCACTGGATTTGTAGATGTCAGAATATTTTCTGCCAGATCTGGGTTAGTTGAGAGCGTAACCCAGTCCATCCATCCAAAACTCACTTTCTGCGTTTCATACAAAAGTCAGTCGCCTCCGAGGCCCCAAACATCCGTTGTTTTCCCAGTTCCCTTGTTTACAGCCGAGAGATAAGGGCATTTCTCCGATAGTTTGTGCTGATTCTTGTTTTCACACGGGCCGATATCAGCTGGATTCGGCTCTGTTTCTGCTGCGTCTATATTTAAACCCAGACTCCATCAGCCTCACTATCTGCTGCTGAGCGCCTCTCAGACGTAATTAACTGCTGCTTAAAGCCGCTCTCTGATAGCCACCCTGAGACTAAGATCCAGATTAAAGATCGACTCAATCTCATGATCTGTAGATGTGGACTGGCTTCCACACGGATCACTGCAGGATCTTATTCGGCACTCAGTCAGGTTTTGTCCACTCTGTTTCTATTGGCTCTTTAGCATTGATGTTTTCTACCAACGAGGCATCATAATGCGCCTGTGCTCCGCTGATAAGCTGCTACAAAGGAAGTCATAGCACACGAAGAGTTCCTGACCGTCGGCACTCCGGCTCATCAGGACAGAGGAAGAGGAAACAACGCACGTTAGTTCCCTGTCAGAACCAGGACGCGAGGAGCGCTGTGTGTGTGTGTGTGTGCATTACCGTGTGTGTGTGTGTGAGATCCTGCTGTGAAGGAAGTTTGAAGGTTTCTGTGGAGAAACAGTGTCTCCCTCTCGGTGGGTTCGGACGGGCAAACAAATCAAACGGGGGGGGCTTTCATTTCTTCATTAGTGACCTTTTAAGAAGGTGACGCTCAGGCTAATGAGGTGATTGTAGCCAGAGAAGCTTTAGAGGATTCCAGTGACATTCCCAGTGGTGTTACGTCCAACAGTGAGTGTGTTTTCATAGGGCAGCGGGGGAGTGTGTGTGTGTGTGTGTGTGTGTGTGTGTGTGTGTGTGTGTGTGTGTGTGTGTGTGTGTGTGTGTG